TTAAGACACCGTTTCTTCCGCGTAATTTCCTGCTAATGTACTTGAGTTACGCCTTCATTATTCTCCACTACCAGCAAATAATAGAAATTATTCGTAATTTCCACTCAAGTTAAAAGACTGGGAAGCAAGTGGCAGTTGCACAATCTTGGACGTTAATCGCCCTGTTTCTGGACCCGAAATGTGGCGGCCACGGCTGCTTCGTGACTGTGATTGTAGCTTTCGCTGTCATGATGAACTCCAGCGATTCAAGTCACGCGAACTGTGGGACTTCCAGGATTGCTTCTCTTGTCGATAAAATAATCCATTGGCTACATTTGCAATGCCTATAATACACTGCATTTACACAACAATAGTTCGCATTTTGACACAATAGCAGTCATGCAGAATTCAGACATTAATAAAATTATGATATTTCTATGGAATTTTAGTACATTTCTGAAAAATTCAATGTAATTTCCGAAAATTAAACGATTAGTGATTTGTGATCGAACACATACATGCTATTTTTTATTCGCTAATCTAATAATAATTTCTTATGCTATCTATTTACTATAAAAATTCCGAGCTCGAATACTGGGTGTTGATTTTCTAAATATAGCACAGTCTAATTAATGCGGTTAAATTTGTATTAAATTTGACGTGTTTAAATGTACTTTCCAATCATATAGTTGTTTATCTCTTCTCGTGAACAATTTCCCTGTAAACTGCACTGGTAAATGGGATTATTAAATGTACAGTAAACCAATCAACATAGCAACTCATATTATAGCAAACATATGCAAATACTGCCGTGAGACGATCTTGTACGCGAGTTTGTATGTTTTTATTGTCTTAGACTACAAAAGATTGTAGTGTAAGAATTCAAAGTTTATTACGTATTTTTTGTAAATTGGTTTTTTGGGATAAAGTTGAAAGGTGATTAATTAATAAACCTTTTTCACTCACATTTTCAACCCTGGTTGTACGAGATGCCGGGTTATATTTAGAAAGTTATTTAATCGCTTAATCAATGCCTCTATTATGACGTACATATATAGATAAATTTAGAAACGATCCATAACGACATTTCTTTTATATATCAGAGTGACACATTTTAAATTGCTGCATCGCTGCTTTCTAATATCAGTGTTTTTTTTTTTTTTATTTTCCAAAATCAAGGTTTAATCGACTAATACGTGCTATTATAGAGAATAAAATCAGCTAAAATTTTTTTTTGTAATCCCAATACTGTCATGTCACGTCGTTACATCGATGAATATAGAACATTTTAATACTTCCATATGCTTCTATCGACAAACACTGACCTATTCTACCAAATTTTTTGCGGTTCTTGTTTTCACAGCAACGACCAGAATTTTACAATTGATTGAAGTACAGGTTTGCCGTTGCGGGTCCATGCGTCATTTTGTCGACGAATAAGTCTCCGCGGCAATATTTTTCCCGCAATAAATCTTCAGCGTTGGAAAGAGCCACATTTCCCAATTTTTTGCCAATTGAATGCCGCCATCAATCACGGACGGTCTACAAAAGCGATCACGGCTGTCGATCGTCGTGCGCGCTTCGTCAGGTACGACGCTTCCTGCCAACATAAATGGCTGCGGTGATCCCAATGAATAAATTGTAAATGTGTGCGTGAATGCGTCAAATTTAAAACAATGTCTATAAATTATAAATGCTAGCACAAGCGCTTGAATGATCCCAATTCCCAACGAATTATTTCCTGTACATGGAAGTTAATGCAACTGGAAAACTCAACAAAAAATCGGGTTTTTCATGTCGTCACCATTCATCAGAAAAAAACATTGACTCGATTGGTTAACAGTCAGATTGAGTGACAAATTGTTTCCGCTATGTACTATTAATACGATGAGCATCCGATTGACTTTTGAATATTATTTTTTATAAATCTTACATCATGATACAGCTTCATTAAATTTTTAGTGATATTGCTTACGTTCGCCCTTTCAAGTACTTTAAAAATAGGTAAATAATATATTGATATAATAAGCCGAGTGCTCGCTTTACCGAATTAATGACAATTAAGCAGTCCCTGGGGAATATGTTTCTCCTGCTTATTTTAAAACATCGATGATTCATCTCTGTATCCTCGCTAATTAGAATGCCGGTTTGCTTCGCCATTTATCGAATAATGAGAATTAATTGCCACGGAAGGAAAATTTTGTTGCTCTGTTACTTCAAATGAACGTAGAGCCGCCATGTCGAGTTTCCAACGCAATTTCAATAGTTCTAATTAACAATGAACAAAAAGTTTGGAATTCACATTACTTAAATGATTGTTACTGAAGCTGTCGAAATTTGATACAATTGTAACATCTAAAAACATTAAACTCAATCTGCTATTAAATTTTTGTTGAAGTTAAGTTAAAAAATAAAATTTCACGTTTTTTACGTGCGACTGCATTACTTTTACATGTAAAATATTTGAAATAAGCTCCATTATTCATAGCCTCTTAAATAACACATGCCCTGGAACCAAAAGTTTCTAATTTTGTTCAAAGCGAAGCCTATCAGACAAATTTAACGAAAAAAGCTACATTTTTTCTGTGCTTTTGAAGAATAATATTGTCCGAATTTTAATCAATGGCAATCACTAATTATTATCAAACAGTTAATGGTGAAGATATTAGTTTAAATAGCACATTAGAGGAGAAGAATGGCTATCATTGTTCAGTCCTAAAATATTGAACTGAAAGCCAAGATGTAGGCTGCAAATGAAGCCCATGTTCCCAAGACCGCAATTTAGCGCAAACTTTGCCTGTTCTTCCTGGTCGCCAGTATTTCACTGCGTGTTTTACCGCCATGCAACTCGTCATTTTTGGCCCTGATTTCAAACAAGGTTTCCTTCCTGGCAAGAAATCCGTGACTTTTTCCGTTTGGCGCAGGCCATTTTGGAGAATTTTTCACAGGGGTACAGCACGAACATTATCACGAATCCATTAGTCGGTGCCATAAATTCATTTTACGACCCCTAGATAATTTCTCTTAATGTTCGGATGCTGCAAGCCGTGCAGCATAAGAGATTGTCGGTGCGTGTTCATCGGCTTCGATAAATTGCATTTATCGAAGTTCTTTCCGAAATTATTGTATTTGAAGTCAATGATTTCGGAACTGGATTCGTTGGATCTTGCGTTTGTCTTGTAGGTCTAATCAGTGGAATGTTCATGTCTGTTGCTTGATATTTCATGAAAAAATTTAATTTTTCCGGAAAAAATTTTTGACAGTCCAGTATTTTGCACTGACGTCACTAATGTTCAATTTTGACTGTAAACATAGCTCGTAGATGACTATAACACTTCAGTGCTAACTAACCTCAAGTGACGACTATCCTGAAATACCTAGCCCCCTCCAGTGTGACTAACCTCCTTGAGGTGACTAACATTTAAAAGTGAGTTACCACTAGAGCTGTAGGTAGAGAGTGTGTTAACCCTCAGAGATGACTCACCAAGAAAGGCACCAACGAAATTTAAATAATATTTTCATTTTCAGCTCTGTAGTCATATCTGCCGCACATTTTAAGTCCCCACTTAAAGAAAAAACTCTCCTCGCTGCCGTGATGCAAAGTCTTTGGCTTTCTGGAGACTTTGAGATGCCTCCACCCGTTACTAAAATATTGCCGTTCCAAAAATTCTCCTCGAATTTTTTATCATCTCGATGGAATTGCACTGGAGTGAGGCGAGGTAATCCAGGGACATTCGTGGGATCTAAGAAGTCTAATCATCCGTATCATCCCGAAATTTTTTATGCGGAATACGTAAGAAGCTGTTCTTTGTGAGGCGAAAAACCCGCGCGTGACGTTCAAATCCATGTAAATATTTTTTAAATCCATGAGTCGCAATAACAGTGGTATCTACTCTTCTTGCAACCATGTCTTCTAGAACCTTCCAACTCTTGCAGAGTAACCTGCAATGTTAGAGTGAGGTGAAAACAATTAAGGAGTCAAAATTAGCTCTCTTTTTAGCGCATTTTCTCATCTATGGAAAAAGGTGCTATTGTGCTCGTCATGTCCATCTGTACGTCTGTCTGTCCGTCCGTGATTTCACTTTTTCGTCGACGAGAAAATGCGCTCTTTAGTGTCACTCAATGCTAAGTACTGAGTTATATTTTTTGGAAATTGAACGGGAGTGATTAGAATTAATCACTCAGTACTTACAACTTCTCTATGACAAAAACTTCGAAAACTTATTCACCGGTGTGAAATTGTTTCTTGGATGTATATAAATATTTTTTGTAGATACCTCAATTGACGAAACGAATACATTCACATATGAACTTTGCTCTCTATGTAAAAACCAGCGCGTGACGTTCAAGTCGAAGTAAATATTTTTTTAAATGCATGAGTCACGATAAGAGTGGCATCTACTTTTCTTGCAACCATGTTTTTTAGATTTTTCTAAAACCTTCCAAACTCTTGCAAAGTAACCTACAATGTTAGAGTAAGGTGAAAACAATTAAGGAGTCAAAATTAGCTCTCTTTTTAGCGCATTTTCTCATTCATGGAAAAAAAGGCGCTATTGTGCTCGTCATGTCCGTCTGTACGTCTGTCTGTCCGTCCATGACTTCACTTTTTCGTCGACGAGAAAATGCGCTCTCTAGTGTCACTCACTGCTAGGCACTGAGTTATATTTTTTGGAAATTGAACGGGAGTGATTACAATTAATCACTCAATACTTACAACTTCTTAATGACAAAAACTTCGAAAACTTAATCACTAGTGTGAAATTGTTTCTTGGATGTATATAAATATTTTTTGTAGATACCTCAATTGACGAAACGAATACATTCACATATGAACTTTGCTCTCTATGTTTGTCTCTCAATGTGGGTTTTGTTTTACATTACATAAGCATACTTCGCTTCATGCATTGCGTTAAAATTGCTAAGTTATAATAAGCTGGATATGTTTCTTTCCATAAAATTTATAGTATTTTATGGATAAGTTTTAGTTTTCTAACTTCTGTCCCTGTTTTTTTTATTGCCAGACCCGCCTAAAGGGGTGACTCTGACAACGGGGGGCGTGAGTGTCGGCAGCGTCATAACGCGACAACGTGACCGCGACCTGACCATTACCTGCACCGTTACTGGAGGTGAGAATTGTTCATACCGAAAATATTCTAAGAAATTATGCCAATATATTCAATTCAATAATATTCATTTAATTATTCAATTAAACAAATTTATTTATTTATTTCAATTAATTATTAATAATTAATTGAAAATATTCAATTAATTATTATTATGAATACAAATATTTATTATTAGCTAATATACAATGGAATATGAATGAAAATTTAGTGCAAATGGTTTTAAAGAATTGACGTCAAATGTTTGCTCAAATCGAAAGTTTACATTAAAAAAATAAAAGCAAAGAATAGTCCACATAAATTCATATCTTTATAGAAAACGTTTCGGATTCCAGCTCCATCGTCATTTCGTAGAATTTAGAATTTATAAAGAAAGGTTTTAAACCAAATGGTTTTATAAAACCAAATTGATTTATAAAACCAAATGGTTTTATGTTATTTTTTATAATAGAAACAACAACATTTTCATTATTAAAACAAACGCAGATTTTGGATTGCGCATGAAGGTGCATACAGAAAAATATTTTTCAGTAATATCGCTCCAAAATATTTTTTTTCATTGACAGAAATGCAGATTTATTAAAAATTTCTATCAGTCAGAAAACCTTTATTTTCTGAAAGAGGGCTTTATTTGTTATTCCATGTTAAAATAATTTCTTCATTTTTTAAGACTCATTGATGAACGTAAACATAATTGTAAATTAATCAAAGTTAATTTTCATTAATTTTTTTGCGGTATTTTTATTAATTTCCGATATTTTTTGATTTCTTGTTGTGTAGGAGTTCCAGCACCAACGCTGCACTGGGAGGACGAGAACGGATCTATCCTGGAATCACAAACCGAAGTGAGCTCGGCCAACTCACACCCAGCGCCTCTGGATCGCTCCGTAAGGATCCGGAGATCTGACGTCGACTTGGAAACTGTGATTGATGGTGCCTCTGTGCTGCCAATACGCAGCCTGGGCGTTTCTGGAAAACTTGCCCGTAGAACTTCCGATGTTAGTGGCAGTGAATTTGCAAAAGATGCTAAGGCCTCCTCACGAGAAAATTTTGAAGCCTCTTTGGTTACGAGCCAACTTACGCCTGCAGGGGATGGTCCTCAGGAAGCGCTCTCCAAAGAGTTGACCGATAAGGAAAATACCCTTCAAAGTCGGAAATCTTCATTCATAAAACGCAAGAATAGTTCGCTTGACCAAAATTTTGACTTAAATAGTAAAAACGAAGGTCACGTTCAGCAATACTTAGGTAAAGAATTAGTTCCGGGTACAAGTTTTGAGACTGAATCAATGGAAACGAATGACTTTTTGGAAAATCTGGGTTCAAATGCCGAAGAGAGCGAAATTCTGGACGACTCTCTCGGAAGTTTGAGTCCTGAAAGCGAGTTCAGTGAATTTTCTACACCATTGAAAATCAATAGACTAAGCAGACCTGAACGTGGAGAATTTGAAATCGGTAATGGTGTTATATTCAGGGACAATCCCGTAGGTGCAAATTCTGTTGACCATCACAGATGCAAAAAAATCTCAACTGCCAATATTGACTTCCCGCAAGAGGAATCACTGTCTTCAATTGACCTGTTTGAGTCCGTATCTTCTTCCTTCGAGGATCCTGCTGCTATAACCTCTAAATCGAGCGCAAAGCTTAGCTTGAATTACGACGTAAACTCCATTCGTCACAAACGAAGCCCCTTGAGCAAACTGAATCCAATTCGAAATGGCTTTCGGCAGAGCAACTGGAACAACTTAGAAGACACCGATCCTAAATACGGGCGTAAGAAATCTCCAGAAACGATCGTAAGCAGCACTCTGGTATTGAAGAGAGGATCCCAAGCCACTAAACTCAAATGCTCAGCTCTGAACAGTCCTATTTTGGAACCCATAACTGCTGTCGTGGACTTGGAAAACATGAGTGAGTTTGTTGCAGGTCTTCTTTGGGATAAAAATGTATTTATAAAGCGGATTATTCCGATCTAATGAGCCTGAGAGCCAATTGGGAGAGAAATGACTGACTTTGATGGGGATTCGAAGCTCTTTAGTTCCTGTAATGAATTGACAAGCTATTTTATAAGCTTCACGCTTATTGATGAAATGCAATATATGTCAGATCAGATTTTTGCACAACTCTGTTCTAAAATCTTTGAATGCGGGTGAATTATTTTTAAATGTAATATGGTAATTTATTAATAAAAAATAGTTTGTATCCATCGCCATTAGTTCCCGTTTTGGCAGTGTTTGCTAATATTTTAAGTTAATCTTTTTTAAAGTTTTACAGTTTTAAGTTAATCTTTTTCGATGAATGAAGCCGATTAAAGTTAATCAATAAGTCTAATTTATTAATGTTTTACGGGAATACTGTGATAAAAAATGCTTGCATGGAGCATTAACGGATTTTCAACTTAGCTGAATGGTTTCATAATTCTCGCGCTGATTCTAATATATTTCGAAAAATGATTTCACAGATTCCAATTTGTAATAATTATGCAATGTCTCACAAAGAAGCTGGACCTTCGACTGGACGTAAACGTACAGAAACAAAAATATTTACACATTAATTATTCCAACATTTTACCAAATTATCATGATATTTTAGTGTTCTCAATGTCGTACAACTGAGAGTCGTTTGATATTTTACCATTAAATTTCTCAACTTTCTGTGATAATTTCAAGATTATTTGCTCATTTTCATGATCATTTTCCAGGACTTTGTTCTAAATTAAAAAATCTTTACATTCTCTTTCTATACTGAATTCTATAACCATCGGCTCTTGTCCCCCATTAGTTCCGCATTATTTTGCATGGAATATTCGTTTATGTCCGTTCTCGATCGATAATATCTCGATTTTCGATAATATCTCGATTTTCGATAATATTTCGTTCATGCAATATCTCGATACCTTGATTATATTTAATTGTGCGATTATTAAACGAAGAACATATCATTTCGGACTAAATTTAACAAAATCAGATCACAAAATGTTTTCATGTGACCAATTTTTTTGACCATTTGAATACTAATACTCGTAATTATTAATAATAATAATTATTGAATAATTTGAATCGAATAAGTTTTGTATTTTCTTTTCTGATATTTACTCTGGCAGGCTCAGATGATGGACTAAAGGTGCGTATGGGGCCGTTGCCACAGCCCATCATCGGTGGCATGACAAATCCTGCGCGGCATTACTACGGTAATATTTTATTTGCTTGACTATGAAGCGGAGAATTGATTCTTGAATATAAACAATGCCATTAAATATGAAGCGGAGAATTGATTCATGAATATAAACAATGCCATTAAATATGAAGCGGAGAATTGATTCATGAATATAAATAATGCCATTAAATAATTGACTGTGAAGAGTAATCTTTATTGGTGACACGGTAATATTTATTTAATGAAGCGGAGAATGGACTAATGGATTTAATTATTATGAAGCGGAGAATTGATTCATGAATATAAATAATGCCATTAAATATTTGAGTGGAAAGAGTAATCTTTCTTGGTGACTTACAGGCACCAAAATATTTTACAGAGATATTTGCCATGACGAAATGATATGAATGCGAAGTATAAAGTGCGTGCTTCTTTAATAACTACTGAAAATAATAAATCCATCGCAGTGAAATACATGAGGGAAATCGATTATGTGACTGAATTGTAGGCAGTCAACATAAATATGCTAGGCTGGATAATGGGTGTGCATGATATTATACAAAGCAACCTGAAAAAACAGCAATAAATAAATAAATATAGGGAGTGGATCTTATTATAGTATTTTTCCCGAAATTTTCTGTACGTCGGTTTTGATGATTTTAGCTACAATTTATGGATCGAGATTCGCAATAGTTAGAATTGAGAGGAGTTCGGCAATAAATTTCGGTCTTAAACGAAACCTTTTATTAGTAATTTCGAAAAATCATTAGTTTACTTCGAATGTTTTATTCCTGTATTCGTACAATTAGATTGGGCGGGGTTGATGCGTAATGATAAAGTTGATGTTGGGCATACGAAATTCTAACAATTCTGCTTTGTAGCGAAAGCGTTGTGCAAATCTTGTAGGGTAATTTTGTAGAGTCAATTAATATTACCTTAAGCTTTGAAACGTTCAAGAACAAAGAGAAAAATGTAACTGATTGGCCTATTCGATGATGTGAGTGACGATGAGCATTGATCAAAAACTGAGCAAGTAGTCGTATTCGATCCTATTAAGAGCATTGGCAAAATTATTTCTACCAGTTACAAAATCAGAGACACGTGTTTACAATATTTGTTTTTGATTTGAATAAATAGTATTCTAAAAAACTCGAACATTCTGGGGAATTATCATTGACTCCTTATGTTTGAACTATCATAGCATGATGAACGTGATGAACGAAGTTTGCAGGCAAAGATTCAATGAACTTTTAATATTTTAGCTGAATTCAGCGCAATAATTTTCTATTTGATGAATAACGTATTTAAATTGCACCCAACTTTTTGCCGACACCGTAGTAAATTGAAATGACAATTTTGAAATTTTTCTCCTTGGCATTCAAATACGCGAACAGTTTAATTTCATCGTATAAAATGCATCTTCATACAAGAATTGATCAAAACTTTTACAGGTTCGTTATTTCTTCATCTTTATTTGCCTTATAATTGTTGAACAGTTTATTTGTCTCAGAAATAAATGACACAAGTGATCCTGCTGCATTGTTAGTCTAACATTTAACATCTCGACGCTTTAATTTAGTAGAATTTATTTAGTTCAACTAATGAGTTGTAACTATTTATAAGGTCCTGTTATGAGATCTATATACTTAAATTTAAACCTTCAGATTCCGACAACGAGCAATGCATCATTAACACCACTTTCATGAGCTTTACATTTAGTTAATAAATTACCAGAGACAACATTTTTTTGTTATCGCGAAAATGAGACTTTCAGCAAAAAATCTGACTCTACGGTTCGTAAATAAAATTAATTGAGTTGATTTTGAAAGCGGTGACCATCAGTTGCTGCGTGCAAGGCGAAACTCATTGATCACTGTTTATAATTGTCAACTTAATTTATATTGTAATTTCAATTATTTTCTGTTACGTTGTGAAATTTAAAACATGGTTGGCCTTGTCCAGACTCAATATTTCGGCTCATATGTTTCAGATTGAGTTATATTTCAGTAATACTTGGCCACTGTGATCGTCTCTGAATAAATTGCCCAATTTTAGATGAACTATTATATTAATATAAGTGCGGTTTATTTGTTAATAAATTAACTATTATTCCTTGTGAGTTTTCTGAAGCTGGACTAAGTTGCTGTGCAGGCGGTCAGTTAAGTTATTGTGTAGGCAGGCAGGTCAGTTGAGGGGTTGAGTTAATGTGTAGGCAGGCAGGTCAGTTGTGGGGTTAAGTTATTGTATATTCATTCAGTCGTGGCTCAACGAGCTCTTGTCTCCAAGTTTGTTATTTAACTTTGAAGTTATATTCATCATGTAGTATAGAAATTCTAAATAAAGAAGCAAACAAAGTATTTTATCATTTTTGTGTGTTTACAAGTCTAAAAATGACATCTATCTATCCCGAAACAACAGACCCAGCAGCAGGCATCAGAGAGCTTGTCGACGCTGTCGTTCACAGTTAACGCAGGCGACCACAGCCACGTGCTGGAGTGTCAAGCTGTAGCTCCTTCCCTGCCACACCTCGTCGCCACCGATGGCATCAAGCTCACCGTCAACTGTGAGATTTTTAAGTTAATTTTACTTATTTTGAAGCCCCTGACTTACGCTCTATTTTCTTGTCTATGATTGGTGGATTTTGCTTGAAAGGCCCTCAATGATTGGCTGATGAACTGACGATCACTTAATTTTTTTTTGAAAGTTTGGCCCAGGGCCTATACTTTCAAAAAAAAATAAGTGATCGTAAGTTCATCAGCCAATCATTGACGGCCCTTCAAGTAAAATCCATCAATTATAGACAAGAAAATAGAGCGTAAGTACTTATGTTCACTTAGCGAGTTTTTAAAGTATGGCCCCTGTATTTGTATTATGATCTTTGCGTAACTCCACGACTAACCATTCATATTTGCCTCAAATTATATCTTTTTAGGCACTTTCCAAATGTATTCACTGGCAACGGAACTGTAAACTCTAAGAGTTGGACGTATTTATTAATCAATAAATAAAATTACTCCTATAAATTCTGTATTGATCACTTTTTATGGAATTAGTGAATAATATTACTAATAAGAAATTTTCACATTGTGGGAAATTATTCATCAATCTTATTAAGGAAGATCACAGGCCATAGTCAGCCGAGGAATAAAGTATATTCAACATTGTTTTGTTTCTAATTCATTTCGAGATGGTATTTTCTTATTATGTTATCAATTTAACAGCATTACTCGGATCTTTTCCGTATTTTGTGTAGTCATTTTGCAATTCTATATATACGATCATTAAGATATTGCCATTTTCCTTACTGCAAGTTTAATATTATATCGAAAATTCATCATAGTCACATTTTCTTTTAGAAACTTTTGCTATTAATTCGAAATACTACAGAGACTAATAATTTATTATTATATAATTTATTATTATTTATAACTTATTATTAATAATCGCCAGCCGCTCCGATGAACTCCATCGAGACGTGCTTAATAATGTCATTTATTGTTGCATGTATTTATAAATTTTTGATGTTTTTTTACTGTTCTTGAGTTTTAAGAACGATAAATTATTTTCATATGTTGTATATTTTTTATAATTAATGTATATTTGTTTATATTCTCTAGAGTTCGGTCACATTAAGCATATTTCCCTTGCCTAACCATTGAACTTTGATCCTGCGTCAGCTTTGAGTAAGCGTATGAATTTCCAATGAAAGCAATCGCGCTCTGCGCTGTGTATTTGATTAAAAATCGCAATATACAGCAGAAACTGTCCGCAAATACACCAGCAATTAATTCTGGTGCAGCAAATCTGCTCACAGGAGTCGATTTATTTTCTCGGACCAAATTGCGTTCAGTTCACTCAAGTATTTTTTGAGCGCGCGTTCGGCTTCATGACTTCATTTCATTGAACTGCTGCAATGGCCGCAAAACTTTGCTACGTGACACAGCAAATGAACGAGCACATCTGCAGTGGCGCTGCAAAAACTGTCTTATTGTAGGCCAGCGTTAATTTTTTCACCCTTGCACACCAACAATAAAATTACGACGATATAATAACTACGTAAAATTTGACTTTACGAATGCTTCGCCGTTTTTTACCAACCATGCAATGTTGCATTTCAATATGAGTGTCCCAGAGAGCATGATTTACTTTTAAATAAATGGCTTCACGAATACGACATAACATGATTAATAATATTTTCCGTGCATTGAAAACAACTATTTTCTCCACGAATACGAAATGATATGCCGTGCATTGAAGATAATTGTTTTTATAAATGTTAATAAAATGAAGCTGAAGGCAAACATCGTAAGGAATTTTGTGAAAATATTTATCGGATCGAATGTTTCCCTTTATTATTCAATTTAACTGCTACATTCGCAGCTTGGTATTTGTAGTTCTAGCAGCAATTCAGCCATCATAAAATTATCACAATCCCAAGTTTTACCTACACAACATTTGCGGTGCATAATGCCCTCTGCTCTTGCTCCTGTCAGACATTGCTTTAGTATATGAATTTGTAACAAATTCCAGTGCTTATACCATCAGTCTTCTTGAGTCGCAAGTAAACAAGGAATTTAAAAGCATTGCAAACGGCAAGTAAATTCACCATATCGATATTGAAAACGTTTCAGAGTCCAGCTCAAGCGTCAGTTCGACAATCTAGAAAATGAAAACAATCCATTTCAGTTCCTGCTGCTCCGGAATGTGACCATCACAAGCAGATTATTTAATTGTAACACGATTCTATTTGATTCACGATTCTCTGTAGCATATTAATTTTTCACTAACGATTTTTCTCTGAATCAATCCCTGTATTTGTAATTGCTTGAGAAGATATCCACTTTATGTTGTAGCGTTGTAATGCTTGCCATATTGGGCCCGTTGCCGTTCCTATATAAAATCCATAGCATATATTCTTTAATTTATTTGTTCTAAAGGTTTAATTTATACGAGAGTTGACATGAGAGTTGACGGCGGCAGGTAGTTTCATCAATATTTTAAACGTAACTGAATTGACTCGCTAATTTTTTCCGGATTATCACTCAACAAGTTGTTCAACTGTAAGTGATTATTATTAACGGCACAATTTTGATAAACAGAAACATTAGCAAGTATCTTTGGATTAAACTGACGACCTGCAGGGCCATTAAAGGATAATTAGAGTTAGGTAAGTGCGCCTTGAATTGATGAAGCTGAAGGCACTTCAGGGTAGCTTAATACCTCCACAACAGACTCCTTTGCTCCTCCTAGGGTTCGGCATTTGACTGAAGCATCGGCAATAAAGCTGGCCTTACAGCTCTGTTTGATTGCTCTGGCGCGCTCTAGCGCTTATTTATAGGCGTTTTGGGGGTCATTGATGACTATAGTTGGTCGTTGAGGACGGATGAACATATCTACTCAATGATCTCATTGGCTGAGTATCATACACATGCGGTGCAACTTTCACACTATTCATAAAATGTTCTTGACCGAGTTTGATAGGTCAATGGTCGAACCTTCAAACCAATTGCGTGATGTCAATGCTTTATTTGGTGCCCAAGTTTGAATGGGATCCTGTGAGGTTAATTGTAATATTAAATTACTGGCTGCAAAAAGAGGTTTTTCTTACCTAATATTGACCAAATTTTTTCCAGGCAATTTGTTCAATGAATAATCTAACATGCGTGTAATAGTTGTATAAATTGCTTAAGCCTTACGAAAGGATTCAATTTGGTAGTGCGACCATCCATTCTTCCTTTAACTGTTTTGTTCTATCTAATTATGATTAATCATTTAAATTTTTTTAAAAATGTATAAAATAATTGTTATCCAATAAACGCCTTTGTATCAATATTTATGATGAATCAAATATATAATGTAATAAATATAATCAAATGAAAAATCACAGCATGGCTTCTCAGGTGCTTCAGTAGAAAGCAATTAATTCTATTCTGGATCTAAGTCTCTTTCACAAACATATATGTGGAAAGGTCCGGTATTTGTTTTTGTATGAATATCGAAGATTTAGAAATTTCAATTAACAATCGGCCCCGTTACTGCATAGGAATACAATTAATTGTCATGTTTGATCGAAACAAAAAATTGAGAATGTTTATGTTAGAAATTAGAATGGTCGCACTTTGAAATGAAATAATCTGAATCTATGATCATTATTTAAGAGATTTCACGTTTGTTCGCTTGAATTGAGAATCGAAGTAATACAAGCGCTGGGTTAAATTCAATGGTTAAACATTTTGTACATCACACAGCCTCGTGCTGTGCATCACACAGCCTCGTGCCGTACATCACACAGCCTCGCGCCATACATCACACAACCAAAACAAAGCCTCTTGTAATTTTTTTCAACGTTTTCTCAAGTCCACGACCAATGCTAGAGAATCCAAATAATTCATGTACGTTACATTTCATTTTGTAACGGTGATCAGGCTACAACCGTAGTTTTACCTTCAAGACCGCGGGCCATACTTTCTAACTCGCTAAGTGAACGTAAGTACTTACGCTCTATTTTCTTGTCTTTGATTGGTGGATTTTGCTTGAAAGGCCGACAATGATTGGCTGATGAACTTACGATCTCTTAACTTTTTTTTTGAAAGTATGGGCCCATGTATGCAAAACCCATATCTTATAGAGCTGTAAAATTACCGTCGATGAGAAGAGTACGTTGATTTTACTTTAGCTTCCTCAGTAGGCATGCAGTTCATTATTGATTCAAAATTGATGCACGGCGTGAATCATTGCGTTTTGGAGAAATTATATATTCAAGAGTCCATGTCATTTACATCAAGCGTATTCTTGACTTAATTGTTCTACACTACATCACTGAGATTAGGAGATACGATTGATGCATTTAGTTTGTTTTAGACTTTCGATGACGCAACTGATGCCAACGGCAATACATTTAGCATAAGGGACACATTGCATGATGAAGCTTGATTAATGGCTGTTAGAAACATAATTAATATAATTTAACCATGTAGTTTCATTTAATAGAGACATAATCTAATATAATTTAATTTGTGTAAATTATAATTTTATTTATATAAATTAGATTTAATTTAATGGGAAAATTATTCACAACAGACGTGCCTGTGTCGGTGTTGGTGCTGAAGGGAGGTGGCCAGAGCCATCACGCTCAGGGCAGCACAGCGCAGCTGCTTTGTACAGCCACTGCTAACCCTCCTCACTATACGCTCACATTCCTCAAAAATGTGAGTAATGTTTCGTCACATTCTTGAACATATGAGTAGTGTTTCGTCACATTCCTTAAAAATGTGAGTAATGTTTCGTCACATTCTTGAACATATGAGTAGTGTTTCGTCACATTCCTCAAAAATGTGAGTAATGAGGGATTTTTCGTCACATTCTTGAACATATAAGTAATGTTTCGTCACATTCTTGAACATATGAGTAGTGTTTCGTTGTATTTCTCAAAAATGTGAGTAAGGTTTCGTGACATTCATAAAAAATGTGAGTAATGTTTCATCACATTATTGAACATATGAGTAGTGTTTCGTCACATTCTTGAACATATGAGTAGTGTTTCGTCACATTCCTCAAAAATGTGAGTAATTTTTTGTGATATTCTATATAACTGTGATTAATGATTCGTTACAGTTTTCAAAAATATTATTAATGTTTCGTAACATTCTCGAAGAATTGTGAGTAATGTTTCGTAACATTCTTGAAGAATGTATGTAGTGTTTCGTTGCAGTTCTCAAAAATGTGAGTAATGTTTCTCAACTTACTTCATAACTGTGAGTAAGGTTTCGAGACAGTCCTCAAAAATGTGAGTAATGTTTCGTAACATTCTTGAACATATGAGTAATGTTTCGTCACATTCTTGAACATATGAGTAATGTTTCGTCACATTCCTCAGAAATGTGAGTAATGTTTCGTGTCACTCTTGAAAAATGTGAGTAATGTTTCGTTCGAATTTTCAAAAATGTGAGTAATAATTCGTAAAAGTCTTGAAAAATTGGAGTAATGTTTCGTAACATTCCTGAAAAAATGTGAGTGATGCTCCGTTACAGTTGTCAGAAATGTGAGTAGTAATTCGTAAAATTCTTGAAAAAATGTGTGTAGTGTTACGTTGCAGTTATAAAAATTGTGAGTAATGTTTTTTCAACATTCTTAATAAATTAGATTTATTTTCCTAATATTCATAATGAATAGGAATAATGTTCTGTTACGTTCTTAATAAATGTGAGTAATGGTTCGTAACAGTCTTCAGAAATGTGTGAAATGTTTTGCTACATTCTTATAAAATGTGAGCGATACATTGTCATACTCTTCAAAAATATGAAGAATTTATAGTTACATTCTTCAAAAAATGTGAGTAATATTTCGTTACATTATTAAAAAAATGTGAATACTGTCTCATTAATGTCCTCAAAAAGTGAGTAATTATGTGAAACTTTCTTCAAAAATGCTAATAATGTGTCGTAACATTCTTCAAAAAAATTTATTCCCCGTTGCTAATTTTTAAAAAATAAATCTAGAATAATGCTGCTAGGGTTGTCGACTCGCGGCAGCAGATGTAAACATAATGTGAGTAATTCTGAGGCAGGTTTTGTAGAAAATAGGATTTTTCTGGGAAAGATTCTGTAGATAATGTGATAATTTACAATACCCTTTCCGTGCAAAATGTGCTCCATGCCAAGACCAGTTTAAAAAAAAAAATATCAGTAACATTGATGCAAATGGTATTGTATAAAATATAAGTAAAACAGCGGTAGCGTTGTCAGAAATGCAATTGATTCAGTGAAAAATTTTGTATATGTTGCGACATCTGTGGTGTAAAATCTCAGCATTGTTGTGTCAGATTTTTTCTAAAATGTAAGTAACGCAGCAACAGGTTTTCCAAAACATTAGTTATGGCTGTGTCTAAATTCTTTTTGACTATTAATAACGTTCGCGCTTCATCCTTCACAATGCGACGGCCATTAAAGCTACTTTTGTCAAAAAATGTAGGTTAAGCTGTGGCGACATTCCGTTGAAATGCAAAACACTCTCGTCCTGCTGTCTTAAAAACTATGAAAGGTGTCATAGCAAATAAACTTTATGCCCTTCAGCCCGGTTAAAATTTGTACATCATTTCTGCAGTTTTGGCAAATTTTCTGTAGTTACGGCAATTTTTTGCAGTTGGTGCATCCTTTTCTGCTTAAATCCTTTTATAAACATTTATGATCAGTATAATTTACCAACATGGTATTAACTCTGTCAAAGCTTTATTTGTTTAGGACCTTCCACCTTCTCTTTTTATTCAAGTTCAGTAATCATTGACGTTAGGGGCTACCATTCTATGAATTATTTTGATTAAATTATGTGTTGTAAGTTTAAGCTTATGAAAGTCACGGGTGGAGTTCAATATTTGCCTAACTGAATTTTTAATTTTGGGAGGCCTTTGATGTGTCAGTTGAGCTAACTTTACTGAACGAACACCGGACGTTCTCAGCCCTAAATTTTGTTCATAAACTAAGCTTGATGATTTTCCGTGATAAATTTATTTCATTTTTCCCGGGCGATATTTTTATTTGCTTTCTTTTTGAGGTTTTATCCACATTTAAACTTTTTTCAAGTTTCCCTAATTGTATCCCAAAAACATTGAACAAAAATCAAACAAAACGTATTATATTTTTTTCAAACAAAACATATTATATTTTTTTAATTTATGGAAATTCATTATTTTCGCATTCATTATTTCCGGTTTCTTTTGAGATTGTATTTAATTCAATATAATTATTGAAAAAATTCCTGTTCTAAATGTAATTTCCGTCTCAATTACTTTAGTTATCAAAGCAGATGTGAAGTAATTATTTAAAAAAACTCAAGCAATCTCAAGCAATAGCGCATTCCAAGATGCCAAAATAGTCCTTCAAATGACGAAATTTTTAGCAAGTAAATTCACACACTTACTGCCCTTTTTAAAGGCCACACAAAGCAGATCTTGAAAAGAGCAAGCAAGCCAAGCTCGACGCCGGCCCGGCCAGTGAGAGCTTCATTTTTCATATGGAAATATGACGGGCGCGTTGGTCTTCCTTCTTAGAAAACAAGCTTTTGTTGGAGCTCAGGTCGCTCGTATTTTCGTATAATGAGACCTGAGTACTGCATTGCTCCCACTCTTTTGTCAATCTCAGGAATTATGTGCAAACCATGCTGTCTGAGCCGGGGCCGGTTTTCATGCTGGGGATAAAAATGAGCATATCAAGAACTGAACCTAAAAACGTGATGTTTAGAAGTCATAATGTTCGATCATTTAGCAGGGAAATGAAAATTTATGTAACTGTACAGTATATTTCCTACTAGTAGAAATTTCATTTAATTTCCTCGATTACACAGGGAAATAAAGCACAATAATGTCATTCGTCTAATCCGCCTTGTAGGCTCGATCAATTATACGATCCTTGTCATTGCTCATTTTAAAGAAAACATGAATTTACTAAGATTATAACAGCAACTCTTAAGCTATGATGATTTTAATTATTTGACTATCTATATAGTCAATTCACTGCTGTTAATGGATGTTCCCTTTTTATCTTTAGTTCCATCTATCTATCAATTTATTTCTTGGAAGTCCCATTTCCTAGTGCAAATTCTGCTCTAAAGAAATTCTATTCTGCTTCTAGTTTTACAAGTGGAACAAATCCTCAAGTTCTCATTATCTCATTAAAGATTATCTCTTACAAAAATTAAGATTTTTTAGGAAATCTACACCGTTTCATAACTTATAATCTACACCGTTTCATCTTTGATCAATGTTCCCAAGAAAGTTGAACTTTTACTTGAAACCTGATATTCTAAAGCTCATAACGGCATTTTCTCAGTCTTCTGCTGCAACAGCGTTCGAGATTGGAGAAAAGCGTGAAGATTAACTCACACCAACGAGTGTTTCTTAATAAGTAAATCAAAAATACTATTTTTTCGTTTAACTCTGTAGATTTGAATAAAAATACAAATGAAAAAGAAACAACAAATATTCGTCCTAATAACGAAAAAACTCTTTTGGCCTTCGATTTGACAACGACTGCCGCCTGGTCAGGAAACTAGTTCTCGTAGTAGATGATTATTTGAAGTACATTAGTTGGCGTACATTTTTGCTGAATTTACTTTGTTTTCATTGGTTTTCTGATACATAAAGTTGTAATAGAAGAATGTTCCCAAAGTTTGCTGTTTGTCCTGTTGAGGAAAAACATATTATGGGAATTGAAAAGATAGGGATTTTTTTTTTGTTTCGTGAACACTCCTCCTTGCAAATTCTTCAAAAATAATTTAAATTGTTATTGTTATCATTTTAACGTTATTTATTCAATTTTTTGTTACACGGCCCAGTGAATGGAGGCAACAGCGATGTTGAGGAAGAGCTTTATATGTAGTTATAGTTGATATCGATAGTCATCGTAGCTTTATAGTTGATATCGAAAACCTCTAATTTAATTGTAGATTCCAGGTTGGCGACATGATAAAAAAATCGCATGTTTGAGACCACACCACTTCACTTTCATAGATAACTCGATTAATATTGTGTTATACATCGTGTTGTTCTGATCTCAGGGGGAACCTTTACCGCACGCCATCCTAACGTCAGTGGAGACTCGATCAATATAGTGTTATACATCATGTTGTTCTGATCTCAGGGGGAACCTTTACCGCACGCCATCCTAACGTCAGTGGAGACTCGATTAATATAGTGTTATACATCATGTTGTTCTGATCTCAGGGGGAACCTTTGCCGCACGCCATCCTAACGTCAGTNTTTCCGAGGTATGAATTTGCGACACTTAAATGTACAGTTTATTTCCAATACTTAATTTATACTTTTGATTCATACTATTATAGTTTCCGAGGAATTAATTTGCGACACTTAAATGTACAGTTTATTTCCAATACTTAATTTATACTTTTGATTCATACTATTATAGTTTCCGAGGAATTAATTACGTTATGTTTACATGACACTGCAGTCGCTCCAGTTTGTGCAAAGGCCGCCCCAACTGAAGTGATTGTGAGGGCTGGAGAGGAGGTCTCGCTCGAGTGCGCTATGAAATCATCCCCACAGTCCAACATTACGTTCAGTTGGTGGGCGGAGAACAAGGATTCTGCAGGCCAGGTTTGTGTTGATTTGATTAAGTTTAATTCGTTGGAATATTTGAAATTGTTTACACAATGAACTCGTTCCCAGTGGCTGAAATAATTTAGAGCTTAGTTTAGATACTGGGCATTGCTTGTTGTTCTAACGTTATTTACAGACTAACGAGCAGATGTTCCAATGAACAGGCTGAGAATTACGTCAATATAAAAAACTGAGATATAAAAATTAATGAGACATAAAATTACTGAGACATGAATTACTGAGATATAAAAAACTAGTCGATTTAAATGCAACGACATTCAAACGAAGAAAGTTGTTTAAAAATTAGAACTAAAGCCAGCACTGTAAACTTTGAGAAAAGCTTGTGTTGGGCACTTGACCGAGTCTAGCGATATTTCAGCCAATCCTCAACTCTTTTCTGGTGATTAGTTCCTCCTCTAAAATAATTATTTCGGATTACTTTGCTAACTTTCGCCAATTTTTTTCTAGAAGACGTCTCTAACATGCCGAGATTTAAAATCATTGAAAGAAGCCAAGAATTTCCGGTGTTTCTGCACATTTCTTTTCTTCTTTTATCTTACTTTGGTGAATTTGATTCTCAAGTAAAATTTTACTCCGAGAAATTACAAAGTCGCATTTTCTCCATTCAATTCTAACTCATAAATTTTACTGGATGGCTTCTTTTATGGAAACAGGTCGTGCGCAAGAAAGTGAGCCACATAGACGAAGGAACAATTTCCAAAGGCTATTACACGGTTTCTGAACCCAGCAACAAAGCAGCATCACCGAGTAAAAACTCCCGGACTGTTCGAAGCGTTAACAAGAACGCTTTGGTTTTACCTCCAAGAAAATATCGGATTGGCAGGAGCTTCCAATTGACTCAACTAAAGAGTCTACTCGTAAAAATATGTCATCAGAGCCAGAAATCAGTTGACTACAAGAACGATTCTTTTAAGTTTAACGTTGGCGAGCTGAATGGAGATTCAGCAATTGAGCGAACACATTTAATTGAAGGTTTTGGTGAAGAGGATGGTCATGGAAGAATGTTTTTTTGGAACGCTTCGCAAACTACGAACTTCAATTTAAAGCGCTTTATAGATCAAATCTGCGACTGTATTGTTTCCACCAATGGATCGAGTAGTGTTAGTTTTGCGAATCCACTCAAAAAACTTCACCAACTCTGCCTTTTACGTAAATTCACAAGAAATTCTATAAAAAATGAAATTTTGGATTCGCACCCCACCAATTTCAATCACCTTCAGCAGAATAAAGAGAATTTTCGAGGTACACATATTAGTCTTTTCGCAGATAGAGACGATTATTTTCATCGAAGTAGAACCCGCAAAGTGAACAAAAGAGAGACTACTACTGCAATAGGCAACGTCGTGCCAAGTATCGGAAAAATTGAGAAGAATACTCCCTCTTCAGCCGGCCGCAGGGTGGATGACAGAGTCGAGTGTTGGGCTTCTAACGAAGTGGGCTCTGCTGAAAAACCTTGCGTGTTTTTCTTCAAAATTGTGGGTAAGGAATGATATTTTTTCCTAAAAATCAATGGAATTTTCATGAAGATACGTATGTGTTATATGTATTGGATTTTGGATAAAGGTATATAAATCTCCTTTTATGCAAAATTAAGATAACGATATGCAATGTTTTTGGAAAATTTGCCAGTTGTATGCGAGAATTTGTACCTTTCAAACGTTTATGAAATACACTACGATAAACGACTATTTTCAAGCTCTAAATACCAAAGAGGAGAATCTGTTTAGTTTCCAGCAGCCTTGATTTTTCAATAAGTTTTAGATAAGCGATAATATGAATTTTTTGTGGATTTTTCGATGGGTTGTGAAAGTCATAGGCGTTTAAGGTTTTTTAATAGAGTAAAATTGACTTTCATAAATGAAAACTTTCATTTTCATTTATGAAAGTCATTCAATTTTGATATAATATGCGTAATTTAAGTATAAAAACACTCGGATATATTTTTTCAGTATAGTAGAATATAATTCTGAAACTTCTCTCATCTTTCCTATGCAATAGAGTATCTCAACCAGGAGTGGGGAACATTCCCATAAATTACTTATAATTAGTTTACTATCAAATAAACTAGGAATTTTAGTGCCTGCAATGACTTCTGAGAATTTTTATTCCTTTTGAAAGAATTTCAATTTGCTGTATTATTGCAGAAGCACTATTTTGTATTTCCTATGGAATATCACAAAGTTAATGGCAAAGCAAATGAAGCGCAAGCAAGAGAAAATGAAGCCACGATAAAAGGCGAATTTCGCTTTTCGCGAGCGGTGGTAAAAAGTTCGAAATTTTGTTTTAGTATTTAACGACAGTTGAATTTTCCACAGAGCACTTCTTGTCTGGAATAAATGATGCTAAATAGCACGGATGAAATAAGTTTTTTGTCTCGTCACCAATACTTTTTATACATTGCGAAATGTTCAACATTGAAAGCTTCAACACATTGAAGTCTTGGTCACCAAAGTAATTTTGAATTGCATTTAAGAAATCAGTAGAAGCTTGACTTCCATCATTTCTGGGCAAAATTTTCCGAAAATGTGGAATTGGAGTACACTATTCTGACGAGGAGTTTAAATACTTCAAATTAAAGTCAGTTTTATTTGTTTGTTATTGAAATATTGTATACATAACACTGAAAGAAGTTGAATCAGAAATATATGTTAGTCACGGAAGGTTATTAGCAGATATACAAAAAAGCTACATGCAGCTAACGTTGCTTTGTTTGTTTACTTTTAGGCTCACTATATACAGTGTACATGTTTCAACTATTTTATCGGCTCAAGACCATGGTTAAGATGTAAAGATTTTTTCTTGATCGACGCTTGTGCATTAAACTTAATTAATAAAAATTCCTCCAAGATCATTTGTCAAAATGTCTTCAATAAAGACGTAGCCACTACGATTATCATTTATAATAATTTAAAAGTGTCATGCATTATTATTTTCCCCGAATACGAAGAAACCAACTTTCTCAAATTTCTATATTGCTCTGGGTTTTTTATTACTAAATTCGCTCAATTCCAATAGCTTTCTTTGTGTAAATCTTGTTCCATAGTCATCAGAACAATGATTGATGAATAATTTAATTTCATATTAAAAATTGGTTATGATATCAAATTGATCGGTATTTGCGATGTATTTGACCGCTCGTGGCACAGAACCTCCAGGAGCTCTGACTGGCTGCACTCCGAGTGACGTCACAACTACGACCGCTGAGATCGCTTGTCTCGCTATCACCGACGACGACGGTCTTAACATTACCTACGCCATCAAGGTGAATTATTCATCATTCTTATTAACCTAGAAATAATAGGCCCATCATAGTTTGTATTCACAAAATTTCATCGGTGTGGAATTAGAGGAATTAATTTTGAAATTTCCTGAAAAATTTTCCATTCTCTGAATATATTGACTGTTTGGCCCACTATTTTCTTTGGCTCTGAATATATTGATTGACTCTGGCCCATTCTATAAGAAAAATTACGGTCACTCCCAGCCCAATATTCATCCACTACTGAATTTTTATTTGGTACGCCACTTTGCAATACAGAGTCTGTATAAATTCACCAGCTCCTTAGTGAGTTAGTGAACTCTTTACTCGCAATAAATTAAACTTTCAGTAGGCCACTCAGTAGTCAGAACCGAAAAGAAAACATTTCGAAGGCTGGTGAAATCATGGCGATTCGTCAGGTAAAGTCCACGAGGGAAAAAGAATTACAAAATTTGCTCCAAGCAATAAGCCTTAATGCTGTTTCTTTATACAATTAGTTATTTGTCGAATGTTGTCGCGATAGAGAAGCAATTTTACTTATATGTACCTGCTTCCGAAGTTTGATGGAATGATGTCTCTCGCCCACCACATTTAAACACGCTATGAATATATTTAATGCCATGCCCGCTTTCAACGGAGTGTATTAGCTAATAATTTTCATTGTTCAAAAAAATCCGAATTTTTATCGTCTAATAGAGTTCATCTTAGCCAGATTACTCCTCTCTCTTCGTATTTTCATCGTTTAGAATCCATAAAGTGTTTTATTATTTTATTAAACTTATAATGTTATATAAAATAAACATATATGTAAAACATTTTATCTGTAATATTATGTCCCCAGGTATTCTGCAAGAGTAATAATATTGTCATGTGTTTTGTTGACGAAGAATTCATTTTAATAATTCCAAACGTGTTTTTCTCATTATTTTTTGCATCCGGTTAAATTTTATTCCAATCAGATAGATACTTCCCCGTGAAACGAAAAATGTTATAATTTATCACGACGTGGCGTTAGCATTTAGTGAGCCTATCGTTAAATAACATCTTAAATAAATAAATAATATCGTATCGTTAAATTAAAATTAATGTCCCGTCCTAGGTGAAGAAATCGTCATCTCATGAGGTCGTATTCACCTCGTCAAGTTTGGAACCGAAGTTCTCGGTGTCTCATCTGGAGCCGAGCGTCAGCTACTTGTTTGAAGTTCATGCTCGTCATTCTTTTGGGGTGGGACCCATTAGCGCTTTCCTGGTGTCCACAAGAAGCCTTCTTGAGCAGCGGATAAGCAGCGAGATCGAGACTGTCAGAGCCAGCGGTGAGTTGCAATCGTAGTCATAGCTTGAGTGTTCGGGAGCGTGTCTGGAGGCAATAGCCTGGCGATATATAAAGAAATTGATCAATAGTCATAATGCGAATTGAAGCATTTTTAGTGATGGTGGCATCCAAATTTAATCGTTATTGATTGTTGTGGACAATTTGGTGCTTTACAGCGCAACTCATGTCAAAGGCAGTATTTATTGAATACTCGTGCATCTAGGGTTCATTTTTGCTTTATATTTCCAGGAGTCACGGTTTCTGGAAAGAAACCGTTACAAATACAAAATTTATTCAAAGATAAAAGGTCATTGAATTTATTAACAATATTAAAAAATATTCAAGTAATTACAAAGGCTTTCTATAAACAGCAAAAAAATGTTCGAAAATGAAAACTAGGTTCACCAAAATTAGTTCCTGATTTTAGTTCGGTCTTTACTCTACAGCCGACGGATGACGAATGAACGAAAAGGTTTCGCAAGTCCACAGAATTATAAGCTATAGCATCCCAAGGCAAATTTTGCGTTCACATCAATGATTATAAGAGTCGAATTCTGGCTCGAAGAGTTTATAGGTATATAGTTGGGAATAATAAGGTCAGTAGTTGATAGCTTGTGATGATATGTTCTGCTGAAGATTTTTATGGAGCTAAAATGAAATAGATAATTTGTGCTTAGATGATCATATGATCGTTAGTATGAAAATTTCAAGTAGGTATTATTAGTGTTACGTCTTGTTTTTAGTGCGTCAACTTATGGGAAATGAATACCTCGGGAGGTATTCCGAATCAGTGATGTTATGAGTGCACAGTATCGATTGAGGGAATCATGTTTGCGATGTAAATTATTTCACTACGACGAAAATCTGGAGGATCGATAATGCTTTTAACTAATAGTTCTTACATGAGTGCTAAACATAAGTTGAAGCGGAATCTATGAGTGGTATATCAACCTTTTCATTGGCTTGTGCCCCTTGTGTGCCCCTTGTGTGTTTTTTTTTAATTAAATTTTAAGGAAGCGTGAAATAAAAATGAGTTAGATCTGAGGAATGGCAAAACTAAGATCGTTAGAAGAACATAAGTACATCATGATAATTAGACCTTGAAAATGTTTTGAACAATTGAAAGATCGTTTTTCAAAAGGGACATGAAAATTATGCCGAAATTAATACAAATTCTGTGTAATTTTTTTCGAGACAAGATGAATTTATGCAGACATTGCCGTTTTTTCCTCTTGAGATTACTTTTATTTTCGGTGGGTAAATCTCAGCGTAATTTACCAGATAATGCAGCTTGGCTAGCAAATTACGTCAGATTGAAAATTATGCGCAGGAGTTAGGTGCATAAAAGTTGGGTACACAAATGAAATTTCGTGAGCTTTAAATTACATTTTTTTGCAGTAATTGGTAATTATGAGATGGAGATCGATAAGAAAATGAGTTACACTCTATCTTTAGGAGTGAATTTTCATGGGACGCTAAATGTCAGACACGATAATTGGTTGTCTCGTTGAGTTACTGCACGTGGATGGAGAAATCGGAAGAGCGGGTGTGTTTATGATAAAACATCAATTATTTGCAAGAAAATTGTCTATACAGGTATTTAATGATAAGCATTCTTCACCCTACATTTTGAGCGTAAACTTGTTTTCCATTCATGCAGCTGGACTGTGACAGATATTTGCACAGATAGGAATTATTAAATTTTATTTAATCTTTTTGAATTTTATTATTAAATTTTCGTCAAATCTAATCCATTTAAAATATGGTTCTTGCAGTTGACAAGGGCAGCAGCTTCTCACTGGCGGATCAGACGCCTCGGTTGGGCAACAACTTTGTTATTATTGTCGTTGGCTTCGCCAGTGCAGCAGCAGTAGCCGTGCTACTGGTAACGGCGGCAAGTCTTGCCGTGTGTCGATGGAGGCAAAAATCTCGCCGGAAAAGTGGCGAGAAGCAAGCGAGGGAAGGAGAATGTCCTGAGACAGACGGTCTCGAGGCGGAGGGATCCAGTGAAAGTCTTGTGGATTTGCGCAACAACAGCGAAACTTGCGCCGCGGCTTCTGGTGGAGGTGAGTTTACTTGATATTTAAATGGTGAACTTGATTCCTACTATAATATGCCAATTAAAGTTCTTTATAAAAATCCAAGCTATGAGATACTAGCGTGCTGATATCAATATATGGAGCAAGTTATGGGAAGATCATTCCATTTGTAACTCGTTGTGTTAGGATAATTTCAAGTGGAACATGTCGTAATGAGAGATAATTTCAATAGTTACTTGTTGTGCCAGCATTTTTTCATATATTAGATGTTATGGTAAAATCATTACATTTGTAACAGTATAGCGGGCCAACTTTTGTCCGCGTTTTGTTGCAAGCAACACGACTTAAGATATAATTACAGACACCGTTACTTCAACCTGAACCATTTATGCTAGGTGGCTATTGATACTGAACTTATCATAGAATGGCAGAATTTTCTTATTTACACAAGTTTTATCAAAGACCGGAGAATTAGTTGTTTTTTCTTCTTATTTCAAGTTGAACAACATTTTTGGTTGGCGTTGGTAGATGAAAAGTCAGATTACCATGAAGTATTTCTAATATGTTAATAAATTTTTGAATGTATCAATATTCATTATCAAAATAAAACGCGTTCAGTGATGAAATTTGGATCGGCATAGCCGTGAAATCACGTAAAAAGGACATAACTAAAAATGAGACAAGGTTGGAAATACATAATAATATGTACATAATACACGAAAATAGGTTACAACTCAAAAATTGGAACCAGAAAAACAATGTCAAAGGTCTTAAAAATTTGGTAGTTTCATTTGAAGAATGCACCAGCATCGTCATACGATGCCATTCGACTGGCGCTAGCTCAAGCCTTCATCAGTATGGTTAGCCTTCATCATAAATTTCGACATTGTCTCTGGAGTTATTTTCGGGCTTCAATTTTCGAGTAGTTTCCTACGTACGCGATTTTGCACTTGTGTCCATCTAAATTTTAGGACAAAATGCGTCGTATATCTTGAAAATACATGTTGAAACATATGAAACGTTATTACAAAAAAATGGAAAAAATCTTTCGGGAACCTGATTTTCAATCGTACAACCACAACTAAAATCAGTCTTCGATTCATCGGAAAAGAACACAAAATGATCAATAAAACTCATTCTCTGGTCATAAATCAAACTTAAATAATTTAAACTAAAATGCATGTATACCTTTAACATCTTTTATCTTGTGTGTATTAACAGCTTGTTCGAACTTTTTCTTTTTATAACGGTCCAATCATTTGTGAATATATTAATAATTCTCTTAATAATCAAGATTATTCGCCTTTATTTAAAGGAATAAAAGGTTGAACCTTTTAAGGTTCAAGGATACCTTTCGTTACAGCGAAAATTTATAGTTCATTGTTTTATCTAACAATATATCATCCACGTAGCGTGGAGCCCGCGGGCGGAAGCTTCGAAGCAAATATTAACGTAGCTTATTTCTCCCGCATGTTCTGCAGAGATAATTTCCAGTGAACATGTCACGGTGAGGTCACTTCATTTGCAACATATTGTGCCTAGATGTTTTTGTATGCGATATTTCATTGCTAGAACATATTATTTATAACATGTTATTCCCAGATAATTCCTTTTTTGAACATGTGGTGATTTAACATGAGTTTTAATAATTTAGCTTGTAACGCTGTTGTTAAACGAGCTCAGTTGTGAAGCTGAATGAGTGCCTCCATTTCATACTTGAAGAGAATTCTCTATTACCGATTCTATTTTGTATTCTAATTTTATCTTACACTTTAATTGTTACTCAGATATTTGTTTACTCAGTTCTAAATTGCAATCAAAATAAAATTTAAATTCGCTACAATTTACAGGATTCCGTCTTGAGAGCACTATCTGTCTTCAAAATTTCCAGTTTCGTGGGAGAATCAGTTTATTCACAGCGTTGAAGGTGTAAAAATTGAATTGCCCACACCACCTCTTGCGCTAATAGGCGCTTCAGAAAAGCAAATCCATTTTTTCTGCCTTCCAAATTGCATCAAACAGCAGCATCTGCCCTCTCCCTACCTTTCAATTTGCCTCACAGGATAACCTTCATTCTCTCCCGCCTCTGTAAGTGCGTGGGCGCATTACACGCTCACTCCCCGTGTCAGGTTATGGCACACTGTTAGAAAAAACGGTGAAGAAACGGTCCCAATGCCGTTTTAGTGGCCGGTCGCCCGTGAAAATAAACTGTTTTAGAAATAAACTTTCAGATGTTTTACGGATTTCTAGTGTTAAATTAAAATAAAAACGGAGACACGTTGTTTCTTTTCACGTGGCGACCGGCCACTGAAACGCCGGTAATACCGTTAACGGTAATTTTTCTAACAGTGCAGAGAATAACCGTCTTTCCCGTGTACCGCGGCAGATGCTGTGACCGCGTTCACTCCCACACGCCTCACGTCCGGCAATCTGCAAGCATCTGCGGAATCGCCTCTTCATCAACCACAAAATTGCGCAGCGACCGCAGCTCAAGTCTCAGGGCCGTCGCGAGGGAAGGTTCAGTGCACGAAAGGGAATTCGGCGGCAGGCTTAGCAGATCAAGTGAGTAATCTACTCAGGAATTAATTTTCAAATGCAATTGAAGTTCCCTGGTCCAGGTTTGGGATGTTGCACTGTTACTGAATTTGCCATCATACTTTCATTAATTTACTATTTAATTGAATGTTACTAAATTTGTTGGCATATTTTACTTCATTTGAAAAGAGGAAGAAAGAGCGGGTTCAGTTGATTCAAAATTTTTGCATTATTATTACTGCATATTTGATTCATCTCTAAAAATGTTTCCATGTTCTCATTTTAATTTTAAATATATCATTGCATTTTTGGGGCATTTTCATTGCTGTATTTTGCGGCTAATCTTTTGGTTTTTCGTAAAATTGTAATTTTTCATTTTGCCATAAATTATTGTAATGCACTTTTCAATATTTTTGCTTCACTATCATAAACTTTTTATTCTCCTTCTATGAACCGGCCTTTCTAATTTCTGTCCCAGCGTTTCAGTTTATTAATGCAAATCTAATCACGTCTTCACGCAGTTTTGAAGTTACACCTCACCTTCATTTTTTCTGAAATTTTGCTATTTCACCGCAATTTAACTTCAACTTTTGCAGCCAAGTTCGTATCCACTTTTCAGGATGAGTACGAAGTACAACCTCCGCCTCTACCTCCACGAGCTCCGCTTCCTCTACCCGTACAAACTCAAATTTTTGCTCCTCAATCGTTCCTGTGTCTACGACCATCAGCCGAAAACCAAAGCGTCTCAAGTGACTTGCCCCGTGAGAGCATCGTTGGTGTTATTGGCCCTAACACGACCAGCGTCGCGAAATGTATCTCGAACTCCAATGTTACCGCTTTTGGTGCCTTAAATGAATTTGCTCGCGATTGCGTCACTACCACAATTCCAGGAAATGGTCTCGGCACTATTATGGGCAGTGAAATGATGCTCCAAAATATTCCTAACTCGAATTCATATCAGTACCCAATTCAGATTCCAATTCACGCTGGGTTGTTGCAGCATCAATCTTTGATTCAAAAGCAATCCCAAGAAGCTTCAAGTGCTGCTGATGCTTCTAAATTTTCACCCGCAAATCTAGTTAGTCAAAATTTATTACTACAAGGTACGATTTGTGGTACCAACGTTGATATGAGTCAATCGAGTCCTTCGATGACTACCGAACAACAACCAACTAGCATTTCTTCAGTAAAAATATTTACTACCAAAAGCGGTCCAAATAATCAACATCCTCATCAGACCTTGATGAACCCCATGTTTCCCAGTGAGCTCCCATCTCTTGCCCACAACCCCTTATACCAAGGCCAGCCGGCCGTCCATGTTTCCATGGCTCTGCCGAGTAACTCGAGTCCTTTCATCCAAGGCTCTTGCTACAATGCTGCGAGTAACGCAAATTCTCTTCTAGTTTCGGATTCGAGTCGACAAACCACGGCTCCTCAGATTGGGCCTAGCTTTGCTATGCCACCAACTCTCATCAATCCACATTTGAGATTTGCTGGGCCTCAAAATCCTTTTCCCCAACATTCAGGTTCTATTGTAATGCAACCTTTAACTTCTAGACCATGTTTACCATCGACCGTTGTTTTTAACAACAACGATCAATTTGATCAGGGTAAAATAATTTTCAATAAAAGTCAAACACAGCAACAAACACTCGGCTATGTTAACCCTGTTTATTCAATGAATTCGAGTACAGCCATCCCGAATATATCCGCCAATGTGGCTTCGAACACGTTGCTTAACAGTTCCTCATCATCCTCCGAACAATTAGTAGCTAACCACGCTTATAATTACATACCTTCGCTAATTAATTTAAACGGGTCGTCAGTAATATCAACATACTCCACCAAGAACTTCCCCTTTGATGCCCACACGAGTAGCTTGTCTCGTCGGCCTCCGAATAACAAGCAGCAGGTTTATGGCAACGCGTCATTGAGTCGTTCAAAGCTGAATGGTAGTTGTGTTAATATTCCCCTCGAGGCAGGCGGTAATTTAGAATCTGCTCTGAACAGAAGCGTGCCTGACCTCAGTGTTTGTGAAGTTAATGGATCGTCAAACCCTAATATTCTTCCTCGGAAAATCAGCGACACTGAAAGCCAAAAAGTTCAGCCGCAAGTGTCTAACTTGTCAAAAGTTTCTGATTTAGAAGAGAACAGAAACAACAAAGTCTCAGTTGCTGCAGCCAGCGCGCCAAAGCTCCAACCCAAATCCAAAATTGCTCAACACAAGCAGCAAATGATCCAGAGGAAGCACGTTCACGAAAACCAGCAAAATTTACATTTACAGCATCAACAACAGAAAGCAGAGGAAGTTCGCCAAATCCACCAACTGACTTCTGATCCCGGACTTTTCCAGTTTCACATGAGGAACATGCATGAAGTTAGGAAAGCTAATACGGACAGCGCCGACCAAAATCTAACTCTAGTCGGCCAACAGATTCCAGAAGAATATCAGCTTCTGCAACTCGATAGAGGAGGCTTGGCTTTAGTAAATGTTCATCCAGTTCATACATACGCGAACGTTCAGCTGACCAATATCATGACGACGCCTAATGTTATTATGCAGGCGTCGGGATCTCTTCAAGGCTCATCGTTGAGCAGAAGAGAACATAACACCTCTAGTCAAGCTTCTGATAACGCGTAATGAGGCAGCAAGTAATTTGATTAAATCGATGAAGCTATATTTATTTTACGCCCTTAATGCAATAATAAATTCTACAATAGCTTTCATGAATAATTGAGATAGTAAAGAAGTAAATATATATATTTTTCCCAATATTATGTCAGATTGGATGGTAAATCGCGTCGGATAATGCTGGTTAAAATTTATTGACTTATGGGAGACAATTCTACACAATCTCACCGATTTATTATACTAATATTTGCTGCAGGTTGAAGTCGTAGTTGTGAAATTTTAGGTAAACACAAAAGAAACATTAATTTTTCGTTTAATTGATCCACTTTTGTTAAATAAATGTAAATAACCTGCGCGTAAATCCTCGGCTGGACGTGTCAGTGTTATATTTTGGTGTATCCTTGTCACTTCTTAAAACTATGATCTAGTAAGAATTTTCAACATATCTTCCAGACAATAACCATTCCATGAAAGCTTGAATTATTCTTAGCACTGGTGTCTCGTACAATTATTCTACCGTAATATGATTAAAGCTTGAACCAGGTCTGCAAATCCTGACATTAAGGTGAATTTATTGAGACGCATTTAATTTATCCAGAGTTTATTGCATTCAGGTCGTGGTGTAATGACATCGGTGTGTTGCTCAATTTCGCTACAAACTTCCCAATACTAGCGGTTTATAGAGAATTAAATATATTTGGTTGCAAATTATTACGGTAAACTAAAAGAAACTTGTAATGGAATGTTCATTACAGGGAAATGGTGGCATTAAATGTAATCGAATTCTAATTTTTTGTTGGTATTTAATGATGTCAATTTTTTATTGGAGTATATTACTAACTAAATTTCAGAGGTTGATTTAGTTAGTTTAGTTTAGCTAGACTCTCTAATTTGCACTATCGTGGAAATTCTATTGAAGCAGGAGTTTTAATTGGTCATTGAGCTGTTTAAACATGATGTTCGGAGAACACATAGAACTCTGATTTATATTAAAGATGCTGTAACTATTCATTTGCGGCAAATTGACGGAGACTTTCGACACGAGCATGGAAATTTTTCGCTTAAATTTGATGCACAGTACATAATGGGTTTCCAACATTACTTTGAGTACTTTGTAGAATGTTGTAGTTAGAGGCCATATAAATTTGGAGAGTAAATGCTAACATTATGTACACTGACTTTTTTCGTATAGTTATCTTCCAATCGGTGCTGAAATTTTCTGTGCCTAATTTTTTTGAGGTTTTGTTAGGGCTCCCTTCTTAAGTATACATAGTTGCAGTAACAATGATACAAGACTTACAATCTAATTCCATGAATATTATAAATTGCAAGCCTTCAGCGCATGATAATTGTAAGCCTTCAGGGAAATGATATATAATACACTACTATCTAAATGGCCTCAATAATTATTTATTAGACTATCTCGCACTCTTTCCACGGATTTGGTCGCAATTTATTTCCCAAATTCTTTACCTGAATTGTAAAAACATTTTTGAGTTGATTTGCTTTAAAAATTTGCCGTTGTCTGTATTCTGTTTTACTAATTTTTTGCTTGGTTAATGAATGACGCTTAACATTAAAATTTCAAAGTTTGCTTTGCAGCAAAATTAATTACGTTTCTCAATCTTCGTACCGTAAACTGTGTTAAAATGCCACTCATACGAGGCGGCGAGTTATGAATGGATGCCAATCAATTTTATTGTATATATGGCTGCAAAATATTGAATTTAGTTTACATTTGGCCCTTATGTCATTTTATACCAGAAATCGTTCACTGCTAAAGGTGAATTATTGTAATCAAAGAATAGTTTATTATATTATTATATGAATAAACTTCAATTGCATAACTGCAAAGGGAGACAGAAATTTTAGATATCTAAATAAATGCTTCGAAGAAAAGAATTTCAGTTAAAATTTGTTTTTATGTTAGATTCGTTACCCAATTTTTGTTCACAACGTTACGCGATAGTCTGAAAGTGAGCTGAATTTTCGGGTGGCAAGGTTGAACACAGATTCAAGTCCCATCTTAAACCTACAAAAATTGTTCGCCCAGCTTTTTTTCGCCTTTCCTTAAATCGTCTCCCTACAGTTTTTAGAGAAACCCGTTTTTAAAGGATGCTCGTTAGACCATGTTTTCGCTTGTTTTTCTCCGGTATATGGGCCGTTTGCTGCAAATAGTTATGTGAAATGGTTTGACCGAAAGTAACAATTAGAATGAGTTCGCTTTTTTCGTGTTTTATTTTTTCATGTTTCTACTCTTACATTCTGCGCTCTACTGAAATAGTTGTGTTCGTAAGGGAGGTTCTCTGAAATACCATGTGCTTGGAACTCACGCTGTCCATTTCACAAATGAAAACTTTTTGTTCCGTTTGAGCAACGCTCTAAAAGAACCGAACTTTGGATGCATTCTGTGTTCACTCTATTATTTTCCTTTCTGGATGCTTTAGTTATTCAAACCGTTTTTCTCGCACTTTAAGCTTAGTTAATAGGGTTTCATCAGTGTTCAAGCCAATTTTCAGGACATTTTGGTTAAAATTATGTTAGTTTTAATGAGTTGTAATGAGGTTATGTCTAGTAAACATAGCCTAGCAATGAAAGCTATAAGCGAACTTTGAGTGAATGTGATGTCAGTGTATATTTGTAAATTGTAGTTTAATGTGTAAATTTCCTCTTTCTATTGTGTATAGCACTACTCTTACGAAAGTGTTTGCCTATGCGAAGTGTCTCTTTCTACTAAACTTTAGTAATCAGGTGTGATTTGTATCCCTATATGAATATATACTTGAAAATACTTTACATCTATATATATAATCAAAAAGTGTTGTTGCATTTTATTTACATAACGGATTGAATTCAATCTAAATTATTTTGTTGCCATCGCAGTGAATTTACGTTGATTTACTTTATTATTATTTAGAATAAGGAAACTCCTTCGTCCTGTTTTCCACTGTACTCTACGAAAAAGGGCCCCGCTACTACTAATTTCTCGTCGTGGGTAATATATTTTTCAGGTTAACTAATGATCACAGTTTAATATTTTTGTTTAGCTACTATTGTCTGATTATCATTGCAGTTGCTACATCATTAAAATGCGTGTAATTGATTCAATTTGAGAAGAGAGAACAGAGTAAATTTTTTCAGATGTGGACAAGAGTTTTATACCCTTTATCAAATAAAGTTGGACGTTCTGGAGTCTGGAATTTCCTTGGGAAATTTTCAGAAGATGTTCTTTAAACAAGTTACTAAAATCATTATTCCCTTAAACTTAATCCGAACGGATCAACTCGTTTTTCTGATACTCTACTATTTTTGAAGAGTGAATTTTTTTTCACGGAACAGTTTCCCAGGAACCGGCAAAACAAGGCGGTCGCTACGAAATCGGGCTTTTCAAGTTCCAATAATCGCATGCAACGGCTGTTCTATCAACGCTGCTGTTGCTGAAAAATTTCACCTGTCTTGAAATTTTTTTTCTTTTTTCATCGCACTCTTGTTTAAGGAACGGTCGTTCAATATTTTCTTCCCAAAACTAAAGCCGGTCTGACATGAGGGCTTAATTGAGAACAAGCTCTTATTCCTGGTAAAGGAAAGTCGTTCTTCTCCCGAAGCGACAATTTCGCGGAAAAAGATCCCGGGTTTTCACCTTATTTGCGTTCCGAGGCTCGACTCTAAAGGAGAACAGCTGCTTGAGGTTGCGCTAGGGAAGAATAGACCCACGTGGGGGCAATGTTTTATTTTAATTTATTGCTTAGTTTACTTAGAGGCAGGATTAGTTCAAACCGATCAATGAGATTTAATGCTTAACGCCCAAAAATATTATCCCTACATCGTACAGTTAATTAAAAATTTTACTGGGAATGACTGCTGTGATTTACTCGAATTTTATAGTCTCCTTAATTTTATATGGTGTTATTTTGGGTTGATAATCGTTTGTAACCAACTCTTCTATTTTTTAACTTGAAATGTCTCGCTTCCCAGCTCATGGCTAAAATATGTCCATTGTTCGATGTTGCTTTTTCTTGAGATGAGAGGCGGACATACGAGAGGCTGATGGCATCGTTCAGGCGGTCTTCTTTCAAAAATAATTGACATTAGTTTGANCGGACATACGAGAGGCTGATGGCATCGTTCAGGAGGTCTTCTTTCAAAAATAATTGGCATTAGTTTGACCAAATATCTCGTGCTACGTTCACTTGGAACCCTGTGTCTTACCGTTGTTGTGTGGAGACGCTGAAGTCAAGAGAGGATAAATATTATGATGAGCCTTATCAACTGCTATAGCTTGCGTATTATTAATGCTTTAGCTTATCTCAGCATAACTGCTGTGGCTTACATCAGCTTAACTGCTGTAGCTTGCTTCAGCATAACTGCTTTAACTTGCCAAATATTAATGTATATAGCTTTCCTCAGCATAACTAATGTAGCTCACATCAGCATAACTGCTGTACATAGCTTGCCTCAACATAACTGCTGTGGCTTACATCAGCATAACTGCTGTACATAGCTTGCCTCAGCATAACTGCTGTGGCTAGTCTCAGCATAACTGATGTAGCCACTCTCAGCATAACTGCTGTGGCTTACTTTAGAATAACTGATGTTGCTTGTCTCAGCATAACTGCTATAGCTTGCCTAATATTAATGTTTTTGCTTACCTCAGCATAACTGCTGTGGCTAGTCTCAGCATAACTAATGTAGCCACTCTCAGCAGAACTGCTGTGGCTAGTCTCAGCATAACTAATGTAGCCACTCTCAGCAGAACTGCTGTGGCTTACATCAGCAGAACTGCTTTAACTTGCCAAATATTAATGGTATATAGCTTTCATCAGCATTACTAATGTAGCTCACCTCAGCACAATTACTGTAGCTTCCGTCAGCATAACTGATGTACATAGCTTGTCTCAGCATAACTGCTGTAAATTGCCTCGCCATAACTGATGTAGATTCCTTCACCACATCTGTTGTAGCTTGCCTCAGATTAGTTGATGTAGGTATAACTGATGTAGATACGGCATAAGTTTTGTCAATCTAGTAGCGTTTCCCTCCAAAAATCCTAGTTATTTAGTCGGTATTTGTAAACTGATTGAAACATCGTTCTTC